GATAATGTTCATGATGGCAATAGATACATACAACTACTGCAGACGATAGATTGTAAAGGATCCTAGATGAAGGTTAAACTTGGAGTAATAAGAACTACAATTTGCCTTTGGCCTCTTGTTAAGACCTTAGTTAGATACGATCCACACCAACTGGTATTCATTTACGTAGTTAATCTTTTGTGAAAGATTGCTTATACATTAAATAAGATTAGATTGGAAGGTAATGACTACCATTTGATTTTACCCTCCTGCTCTGACTTTGTTGGAACCTTGGTGTTTTGTGGTTGATCATCACACTGTACTTCTATTAAAATTTTTGCACTATCGCTTCAAGAAGTAAGTGAGAAAGGGACTTCATAATCTTAATTACAATCTTTATTTTTGACTTTTGCTGTTTACGGCCCAAAATCTTCGACTTTGTGGTTATTTTATTTACAATATCCCTTAACAACTTTGTATTCTATGAGGGGCAGTTACAATTACTGATTAGTCCCAAAAAAGATATTCTGATATCAATCCATAAAATTAATGATCATTATTACAATTCAGAGTTCAATACTCGCAATCGTTACGATTGATCAACAACTAATTTTAAACAAATATATGTAGAGTAATGATAGGATTGGGCTTAAAAAAATCAAATTACTAAATTCTGTCTTGACATTGTAGTGTTTATTCCGTTTGATATACTGAAATGGTAGATTGCATCGATGGACTTTTACAATTTAGACAAAGTTTTCTCTAAAACAGTATGCTTTACCATGTTATCTTTTCTAACTACGGCTTTTTATTATCTCCTGGTGATATCTGCTAATTTCGTTATTTTTCTATTTTATGTGATTAATTGTAATGGAAATAATGCAACTAATGTTATTCCCGTAGTGTAAAAGCTGTCGTATTCTACACTCAGGCATTCGTCTGTATTTCGAGATTGACTAATGTACAGTATAAAAGATATTTTTCTTAAATTGCCACTGACACGAAAACTATACCAAAGCTAGATGGAGAATTCTCCCACTAGTTCACGATTCATGTTATAAACTATCATCTTCAGTATATTGCGCTCTCATATTCACTGCTGTTGTGCACTGTATAAATTTATGTTTATCATCATCTGTGATCGATAAAGATTATTTTATATATCAAGCGTTATAAAGGTTAAGCTTAGTTCATTGCATAGGTTCAATTAATATCCACATTTTTATCGTATCGGTAGAAAAGTCTTGCTCGATCTTTCCGTATCGTGATAAGTAATCCATTTGGTCAATAATAAAATTTTAAAATAGTAGCTTATATCTGAGATGATATACTCTACTGACTACGAACTGCAGTATAAATGGATAAATAGATGATTCAAACCAAAAGGTACTATAGTTCTTGTTATGACAGTCGTTATCTAGACCACTGCCTTTTCTCTCATTATGCAATTCAATATTTGCTTAATGTTTGAAAGGAAAAACATCCATTGCAAATAAACAAACTAATACACATCTTTATGCCATTATTGAGATTAAAAGGGAGTATAAAATAATGATCGTATTTTCCTGTTTGAAATCAACTTTGGTACAATATATCATCAACTTGCTTTTTCGTATACTGCGGTAGCGTAGCTAGTCTAATTAACGAGCTTGTTTGTAATGGCTTAATCAACGCATCGTATATGAAGTCTGGCCAAAAGCATTATTTACGGTATCTCTTTGTTCATTTTTTTATTGCTTCTTTTTAAAATGCAATATGTATACATATGGAACTGATTAACCCTATAGAAACACTTTTAGTGATATATGACTAAATAAGGTTGAGTTTCAACCATTTCTCTCCATTTTAGTTTTATGGAACTAAGAATGGTCTCACATACTGTGCTATGTTTATGTGATGATATACAATAGTAAATGTCATTTTTCAGACAAGAATATTATCGTACTTTATACTATATACAGTATATTCGTATATATTAATACTGTATTTGGCACGTCTGATAAAATTATAGTTTAGTACTTACGATATTACACGCAATCACCTTTTTTTAGTTGATGAGTAGGAATGAAATTGAAGCGAATTGTTAACTTAATTACATTTATTATTGTTCTTTCTAATACCAGCAAAAGAATAATACTTAAACATGTAGCCGTTTTACTTATCTTTACTCCTTAATTGCGATCTTATTAGATGAATAATGCAGTATTTCGAAAATTGTTGTTTCGTATACTATATGGGTAATTACAATTAAGGCAGTATATGAATGAATTTTTGATTTGGCTATGCACAATCTTGGAAGGTAGAGCTTTTAGTGAATATTGAATCCTTAGAACGTACACCATTTCACCGATAAAAATTGACACTAAATAGTCTTCCTTAAAGCTTAGCAAAACCCAGCTACATAAAAAAAAATTGAATCCTGATACTGTAGGCTAACATTCAACTTTTTTTAAAGCGATCTACTGTGTACATTAGCGAGCATATGACCTGACAAAATCTGGGCTGTCTTTTAGATTTATTAAATTGATATAAATATATATAGATTTGAACTTAGTTACAGTATATCGAATCCATGTTAAACTCTTCATTCAAGTAACACATAGAATCCATACCATTCTAAGGTAACCGTTTGCTTAGAGGTTTTCATTGTACGCTAACTAATACACAATCTAACAAGGTCTGGGCTCCATCTTTGAATCTATTTTATTAAACTTCTTATAAAAGCACCCTAATAAATACTGTAGTGTACATACTGTATTTGGGCTGTCTTTTTATTTTATATTGAATTCATATTAAACTCCTTATTAAAGTAACATGAGCACAGTATAGGAATTAAGGGAGCCTATTACTTGGAAGGTCTGCGGTACGATGGCATCGCTAAGAAAGAGAGCGGGGGCTATTTAGTAGTCTATGGAACTGGGCTGTCTTTAGGTGTCTTGAATCAATATTAAACTTCTGATTACAGTAAGGGAACCCTTTTACTTAGAAGGCCTTTCCAATGTCATTGGCGAATATACCATACGATCCTATAACATTTAGGCTGTTACACAGATATATACTAAATCCATATTAAGCTTCTCATTCAACCGAAGTTTTATACTCATACAGTATTAGCCGTTAGATTTACAATAAAGGGCATTTTACTTTAACCGTCTCTAATATGGCACACCGGCTCTAGTAGACAATTATTAAGGAGCATATGATCTGGCAAGATCTAGATTATATTGGGTTCAAAAATGACTGTAATACTGTACTTGTAGGATTTCTAATGTAAATCAACTATGCATACAATCTGACTAGATTTAACGCTGTCTTTTTTAAATCTGGATGCATATTCAACTTCGTATCCAGCGAGGCATTGGTACATTGTATTAATCATTATTAGCTTTGTAAGACGCTTTGCTTTGACCGTCTCTAGTACTAGTAGACATTTACGCTAACGAGGCTATGATCTGACTAGATCTAGATTATTTTAATCCATTTTATTAAGGATGACTGTTTACAATACTTATAATGTCAATTAGCCGACATACAATCGGACAAGATCTGGACATGTCTTACCAGATCCAGATTTAGAATCGTTTCTTTCATCGACATTTTGACGCTATACTGTAAGCCTACAAAGGTCATGATATTTGAACCCTTGTCAATCTACCAGGTGCCCACGAACTAGAACAAACATGTAATTATTACGTCATCAGTCTATTATGTCGTCACAGACACGATACAGACATGATTGGTGCAGGCCAAATAGAACTAGCATTGAACAATGCCTCAAGTGAATACACAAACAATAGCATGTAGATTACAATAACCCTTTAGCTTATTACAACATCGTTATTAAAAAATTTTTCTTGTCTGAAAAGATCTCCCCCAAAATTTTTTTCGACGTTACTCAGACGTTGACCGGCCGCGTTTTTCCGCTTGGCACCAGTTCCGTTGAATAATTGAGAAAAGAAGTTTTCAACACCGTTGTAGGGATTACTTGAGCGATCTAGTGAGTAGAGGGTAAATTTCAATTTTTTACAAGTAGCTAAACGATAGGTTATCGTTGCGGTATTTTCACCATGCTTTCACCGAGTCGAGTACATAATAGAATTGTTTAAATAAAAAGCAAAGAGATGTTAGTAACTAGGTATGAATCATAGATTGCAACTATACCGGTACCTATATAGAAAGGTTGCATTTATACTGTACTCTCGGAAATAGAAGAGCTCGATGATCTATTTATTCACAGTTTACGATATCGATCAGGATTTTAAAAGAATTTATTACTTTATCGCTATATACACTAATTGCCTTATTACTAAAATTACTAAAAGAACTTAAAAGGCTTACAAGTAAGCGTAGTTAATCGTTTCCAGAATACGGTGGCGTAGGTACTTATAGGCAAACCACGAGTGATGACAACAAGTAGATTAATACAGATGACATGATTGATTCATTTGTACACTACATGCAGTTCTATGCTATGTTTAAAGATAGTTAGTATAATGACATATATTGAAGTGTTACAGGATTAATCAAATGCTTCCGAACAATTCTTTAAGCCCAGTAACAGTATAGCGAAATAAAATTTTAAAAATTGGAACGAATTTGTGACAGCAATTTATTATTTCTCACTGCGATCTGTTCATTGATCAATTATTAAGCAATATCTTACAACGTGCAATTCAAGAGCCTTCTGTTCTCTTACAGATTCATGAGCTCTATGATCACAACGTGCTATCAATCAGTTCTATACCGACATAAGTCTACTGGAATAATGTGCAGGCTTTCGTTATTTTCTCGTCATGAATGCTTTTTATACAGTAGAAAGAATAGCATTGCATTACTCTCTCGATATATTCTAATTTTTTTTCGTTTCTTCTCTCCTTCACAGTATTTTAATAACAGCTTGTCACGAGTGATCCAATTTCGGAATTTTATATTGGACTGATATACGACGAGCGTACAGTAGATACGTACAATTAATTATTTGGATCGCTGATTGGAATTAAGCCTGCCGTTGTGGACGTACCATGGCTGACTCAACTGCTCGTCGCGCTCCACCTGACGGTGGCTGGGGTTGGGTTATAGCCGGTGTAGCTTTTATCATTAACGGCATTATATTAGGAATTCACAATTCTTTTGGACTATTTTTGGATTATTTTATTGAAAATCATGTCTTTGGAGTTACAGATAAAGATACCGCAGCAGTAGGTAAGTCTGATGCAGCCCATGCGATCAATCAATCTATCTTTGTTGAGAATATAGAACAGTATGAAAAAAAATTTTTCATACAATACCAAGGAGAAATACATAAAACGAACCGTTTCCCACCGTTTGGTAGAAGTCCTTACTGTACACTGTACAGCATACACTACAGTACAGTATGTACCGAATCGTACCGTTACGGTATGAAAGAAGGCACAGCACAAGATAGTTACTGTACTTATACTAGATACTGTACAAGTGTATAGTACAGTATACAGTACCATCGCGGATAAATCCGTATTGTGAATATTTTGGCAAAATACGGATTTATCCGCGAGTATCCGCGAGTGCGGACATTATGCCGTGTAGAAGACAAATGCACAGTCAGTACAGTACAGTACGTTAATATAAACACGTGACAAGAATTTACATGTACCCTAGAGTAAATATGTGATTGATATTTTGTCATCTCTGCCTCTAAAATGATTTATTTAATTAATTAATTATAATATATGAATATATTGTAGTTTAGTTATCATAAACAGAACCCGAAGCCAATGCATTCATAAAAGTACAGCGAATATTTTAAATGATATTTCTATACTAACGATAGATACAGCACTATCACATCAGGAGAAGCGAGTTTAATTGACTATAACCTAATAAATGCCATACAGTATACTTTACGCGTAAATGCTACACATTTTATCGGAATGTAAATATGTAATCCTCGTATAGCCAGCCGTATTACAGTCAACAGCGTAAGATGCTGCGCACGATCTCGTTTGCGCAAACTTCGTCGAAATAGAAATTGGATGTACTGTATTCCACTATTTAAATGATTCAATAACGTATGATTATCTTATACATTTTTAGCTGCCGTTGGCTCTCTTTCTTTTGGTATGACCTTTATGTTTGGTCCATTATCCGGAATATTATGTGATCAAGTTGGATTAAGATTAACTGTCATAATCGGCTCTGTCATCGCCGTAGCTGGAGTTTTAACAACCTCTTTTTGCAATGAGTTATATCAATTATATATCACATATGGCGTTCTTTGGGGCTGCGGCTCTAGTCTTTGTTACACTGCTTCTTTCGTAGCCCTTGGTCGCTACTTTCATAAACGCATATCTTTCGTCAATGGTTTAGCTACGGCTGGTAGTGGAATCGGAGGTTTAGCATTGACACCATTGATTAACTGGCTATTAACTACGTCCGATTGGCGAGTTACTTATCAAGTTCTGGCTGGTGTTTGCTCCTTACTTGCGATATGCGGAATATTTGTTCGTCCTGCTGACCCTTCTAAATCGAAGAAAACTAGCTGTCTGTGCTGTGTACAAAAGAAAACAGTGCGAAAGTCACGTCATCATAATGCTTTGGCCTTGCAGCAAGTCAAGAAGGATGAAAATAATGAGATAGGCAATAAATCTCCCCCCAAAAGTAAAAATTTAAAAAGCATCCATAAACAAACGGAAAAAAAATCTGGCAACAATCTAAAAAAGAAACAATTCTCTATCCGATTTGAAGACGAAGTCGTAGCTGAAGAATTACAATCACGTAATGATAGATTATCTCAAATGGAAGCAATAGAAGCAAGAACAAGAAGCAATTCAAGTTCTAGCAGAGATGATAACGACGGTATTGTACTCAACCTTGATTACGGTAAGGCTGATGAGATCGAAATAGGGCAAAGGGCAACAGACACTTCTGCACCCTCGCCTGATCAGAGGAAACGTCGTTTTAAATGCCGCCCAAGTTGCAGCTTAAGTAAAAAAATCACTTCTTGCTTGGATTTCTCTAACTGGCGAAAAAAATCATATATCGCCTGGGTGTTATCTGCTGCTGTTGTTGAGACTTGCTACTTCACCCCGTATATTTATTTGGTAAGTAGAACTTTATTCGGATATATGTTACAGCAGTATTTATTGAGACCTGAATGATGCAATAAACAAAATAGTGATAATCACCTTGAAATAGATAGTTACAATAATAACTACTCTTTTTTTGTTAATCAATAGGTTAGATACGCTCGAGGAATTGGTATTGATAAAGACAGAAGTAATATGCTTGTTGCATACCTTGGCATAGTAGCTACTGCTAGTAAACTTCTTGTTGGTAAAATTTGTGATCATCCGAAAATGAATCGCGTCTACTTTACACAAATATGTATTCTTTTCATGGCTGTATGCATTACGTGTTTGCCGTTAACGACAAACTATGGTGGTGTCCTAGCATTTGTTATCGTTTTTGGTTGGTTCGATGGTTGCTATACTGCATTACTAGCAGTGATCACCCTAGATGTGACCGGCCCCGCAAAATATGCTCAAGGCTTAGGTCAATTATATATTGTAATGTCGATTAATAACATCTTTGGACCTATAATTATAGGTAAGTATAGATTAATCCGCTGATGGATAGATCATAATAATGATTCCAATGCTGATACATGCTAGTTTAAAGTAATTAATAATTACTTCCTCTTTTTTATAGGAGAAATTTACGCACTTACTTCCTCTTTTGAGATTCCTTTCTTCATCGCTGGAGGAGTCTTTTTCTTAGGATGTTGCAATATGTATTTTATTCATTACTTTTCACCTGTTCAATCGAACTATATGGATAGAAACAGCTCTTCTGACTCTGTTAGTAGCATGGGAAGTGGCAGGCGACTACGCAGATCTAGCAGCTTTGCCGGTTTTGATGTAAGTAACTACGCGGTACCAATCATGGGCGTAGCTTATAGTGCTCGAATTAGGAAACGCCATAAGCTGAATTTTAAAATGAAAGCAAAAAAACATCAAAATGTCAAAGAAGCTGTGCCAGAAAAAGATTATCGTAACGCCGATCCATCACAGTATATTGTAGTAGATCATGTTTCTGTTGTTTAATTGAGCCGCAGGATTGTGGGATTTTTCTATGTGTAACGATTTGTCAAATATATATGATATATTACGCTATCAATAACCAATACAACATCATTTTAAGCTCATTATATGATCATTTTAACTTACAATGTATCAGTTATAATTAAAATTCATTACTTCTCGATAAAATAACATGTTGATGAATTATACAAAAAAATTAAGTTTATTTACAGTATATTTCATAAGAGATTAATGATTGCTGTCTTGCCTACTTTATGCTGCTAGGCAGATAAATGTGTATAAAGTATTAAACTAAAAGGTAATCCTACTTTAGCAATGAATTATTGCCATTCCTGCAGGAATTACAGACTCTAGTAAATACTAATTATTGACGATACCCTTGCTACATTTCCTCTGAATATTGTACATTATGTTAATTTGAGACTATGTGATGCAGAAGATCTTAACAGAATCATGATATATTGATTATCGTATTTTTAAAAGCTGCTTTTATTAATTCAATTGGTTTATATTGCGCCAACGCGATATAATAAGTTCAATACAATGGCCATAGTATTTACAATGTTTTATTTTATTGCCTTTGCTCAAATCCAAATCCAAAATTAATTTTAAACTTTTATGCATATTACTAAGGAACACAATAGCGCACATAACTGTAATATATCGCACTAGAATACACTTATCTACAGGATATATGCCAAAATTATTATATTGTGTTAAATCGCTGTTATAAATAAAAAGTTTTTATACTAAGTTATAGTTAGCTATCGTTATTCGTCTTGGGTGAATACACAGCCTATGATAACTTACTTCTAGAATCAGGCATGAAGTTACTTTAGGTCTGGAATTTATACAATAAAAGTGTCGATCTAACCAGACACACAGCTTGTATCTTACGCCTGTACACTTGCATGGTACAACACGAAATTACAAATTACTATTACAGGTTCTTATGTATAATAGGATATATTATTTATAAGCCTTACAAATAGTCACATTTCGTGCTATATTGTATGCTAAGCTCCTAACATTTTTAAACTATACTATTAACGAGAGGGTTTCACAACATCCATTAATATGACAATAAGCAATTTAATTGGACTATAAAATTCATCTTAGCAATAATACAGTACTCATTGATGATCCGTTATGAAACGATTAGCCATTGTAAAGACAACCATGATGTTAAAGAGATTATTAATTTCTAATCGCGTTACAATCGGGATTTCAGCAATGGTGACACGTTTCAATTGCAAGTAGTCGCTACTAACTAATTATTAATATAATGTAATGAAACTTATTAATATTATCATGCTTTGAGAAGAAGTGTTTTTTATACCACCATTGGAATCTACGTTACTAGCGATTAATAGCGGCAGCATAATACGCAATTTTTTGATATACAAAAGCTCAAATTATCGATCACAGTATGGCGCCAACATGACTAAAATCGTTATCTGATGGCATGCTGAGTCAATTTACCCTTTCTACTATTAGTTTAGAAGAAATTGCTTTCCCTCTGAAAATCTAATATCGTTCTAATACGCTATCTCGCCAAGTTCTATTTTTTAGTTGATTTTTGCGTTTCTTTTTGATTCGGTTTTTTAATAGATATAGTAGGAGGAATTTCGTACTTTGAAACGGATTTAGTTTGATTAGCTTCATAATCATCCCACAATTTTCTCTGCCTTTGCCGAATTGCGTCTGATTCTGCCCATTTAAACAAGTAATCTCGTTCTTTTCCAGTTCTTTCTTTAATAACTTTGTCTACGTCATGCTTACAAAAGTCGTCTTTAGAACTACTCGCCCATCTTGTTTTTTCGAATCCACCGAAAACATTAGAATTTAATGAACGAGATAATGATTCATATGAATCGTCGTCATCTGAATCGATTAAGAAATCACCATTTGCTGCATTTGCTAGAGATAAAGCCATATTTGCAACCACTTTAACCTTTTACTAGTTACTTGTATGGTCTTCAATTTACACGACCGGGCTAACAATAATGGTTGAGTAACGTGCAAAAAAAGAGCTTACTCTACAACTCTATCGCTAACAGCATATAATACATAATCGTGGTAGGTTACCATACTTCAGCTAATAATCTGACTAATATTAGTATGTTATTCCTAATAACTGCTTTCTATCCAGTAAACAATGAAAGTTAGATCGGTTGCCTTGGTGATGATTAATAGCTATTATAAATTTAATTAGCGTTTTGTCAACATACAATATTAACGTAATCTTACTGTTAATACAAACCTTGTAGTTTTTATAAGGCTACTACGACACGTATCCTATATGAGTATTGTATAGTATAAACCCTAAATATATCAACAGTGAAACTAAACGTGCAGCAACATCATCTACTCATCGACTTCGCTCGATGAGTTTAAATTCATACTCGAGTGTAATTTTAACTTAATATGCCGAATACTCCTGATACTCTAGGGTAGATAATCTAATTATATTATCTGGGTATAAAAGTATTTACCTGTGCATTAATGGATAACAAGAAAATGTGATAAATGGAGGTTATAATAAACCTCGCACAACGGGACAAGATCGATAAAAATACTTGCTGACATTCAATTAGTATGAATCAACTATTATTAAAAATCATTTTACAATCCTACCAAACTTGCAATAAATTATCGTTTTATTGATAACTGTCAGAAATTGCGCTAAGATCTGAAAAACTTTTTATGCATTCTATACAATATTGCAATCTAATAAAATAAATTTCGTTTTGCTTTAAGCTATTTTACTACGTCTAATACAAATGTTAACGACAAAATATGTGGCAGTTTGATGTATTTCACTAGTAGTTTTTTGATGTCTGCTGTATACTGATAGGATTGCACGCTGGTAACACAAAGCATGTAATAATTTTAATTTCACAGATCGAGTGTATTACTACGAAGTAGGCTTAAATAGTTATAGATAGGCATGCCTCACTACTCGAACACATAATACTGGTAAATTAATAATGAAATACATTTTATGCAGCATATGCACATTAGGCATGAAATATGTACTGCATTTCCAAGTACAATCGTTGAAAAATGAACCATTGGGAGCAAGTAGTTAAACAGACATCATGCAGCATGTACATAATGCATGTGTAATGCATACTACGATTCTAAGTACAGTCGCTATAGAGTTAACCGCTGGAAACAATCAGTCAGCCTAATACTGAGCTTATTTCAATACCTTTCAAGAATAGTATAATTTATTTTAAAAGTCGTTTACGGCATAGTCCAACGTTGAATGACGATTACTTATAGGACTATCCTGTTCATTATATTTAACAGATCGTAATCAATTTTTAATCTGCAGCTAACAGTTGATTTTAATGAGGAATTATAAAATCAGATTCTGCGTGATAAAGTTATTCTATGCAAAGTATCCCAAGCGAAAGTTCGTAACTTCCGTAAGACTGTCATTTTTTGTAAATAAGGAAGCAAGCTCAAGTTAAATGTTAGATTTCTTGGATAGATAGTGCAAATAGTATATCAAATTGTTAAAATCATATTCAAATATTCTTTCATTTACCAAGTTTATAGACTCCAAACATCAAGTGAGACCTTGTAATAAGTCATTATATGAAATTCCTCAAAACTTAGTCTTTTTCTGACTTACAATATCTACCGTATACAAGTAGCCTATATACCCGATTATAACCAAGTAAATAAAATGTTACTTTTCAGCATTTAAATGATTTAGAACAATCCAGAGTTTAGCAATTTGATACGATCCGGTGATGGTCATGAAAACACTTTATTAGGCAGATAGTTCCGTAATTTTCGTCTTTAGGTCATTCTCAGGAACTAGCCCTACTGATCTGTCTACAATTTTTCCATTTTGAATAAACAAGAGGGTCGGCACAGCTGACACCTAAAAATTTAATGCAACGACATTGTAATCAATGTACTTCCTTTATAGGATATCTATACCCCACTAGAAGAAAATTTTCTCAAAGTTTACAGTTACTTAACAACTTTGAATGCACATCATTATTACATGCTATACAGGCTTAATTTTTAATCGATATTGCTGCCTCGCAGATGTGTACTGTGTGCGGTATTATGGTCAAAGTTTGTGCCATATTCAGTAAGTGGAAATAAATCATATTCATCATGTTTTATATGCACGAACAAGATTCCAATCAACTAGTAAATGTACATTATTCCTCTATTATTGGATTTTATTTCATTCGTCAGATATTTCCGTGCAAAATGGTATTTCTTGTTAGAATACTCGTAATAATGCTTTTTTATCTTACATAACAAGATACTGTACATTACCTCATGTTCTAAGGCAATATCCGGGGCTTCATCAATATCAACCTTGATCAAGTCTACTTTTTCCTTTGATTCATCAATAAATTTCTTCAGTAGAGGACCAAGTACCTTGCAAGGTCCGCACCAACTGGAATAGATGATGTTTAAACATAAGTTAATTTACATGTAAGTACATTATACAACATAAGAATAGATTGGTCTGCATAACCATAATCGTGAGTTTGTAAAATCATAAAGATTCAATTTCAAGTATCTGAAGTTAGAGTATTATATATAGTATAACTATTCTTAGTATGATACTGATAGATTAGTTCATTTATGATTATAAATATGATAATGAACGAATAAGTACGCGTATCCTGCACTACTGAAGATTTAACCTGAAAATTGCATCGATGATCGCTGCAGAGTACATTTTGATTTTATCAATATTTATTGAACATGCAAATACTTAAGTCAGTTTACTAATTATAATTAAATACACTGGACAACCAAAGATTCAATCTGAAAATAGCATCTAGGATTGTAGTCGCGTCCATTTTGACTATACAACCGGTTCTATTATAATTCTTGAACATGCATATCCTTAAACCGCCAGTAGTTAGCGACATACCATTAACAAACTTTAATTAATGGCAAACGCTTGCACGTCACTAAAGCGACTAACTATAGACAATTTTACAGTGAACGCTTTACTGATTCCAACACAATTATCCATTTATTCACATCTCTGAAATTGAATCCGCTTGTTGATGTAATACTGTATTTGACAATTTGCCTGAAGTGCTATAACTACTGTATTCGTTTGAAATGCGGTCTATGCACCTCGCAAATGAATGATAGTAAAAAGGTAGCAAAGTTACCTGGCATGGAAGTCCACAACAACGGGCTTATTACATTGGAATACCTTGTCATTAAAATCTTCTTCAGCATTTACATCATAAATTGCGTAGTGAGGAACTGTCGTACTAACCATACGTAGGCCATTTCTAGCTATTTGTTGGCTTATACGTGGAATTACCCTACCAATATGTCGAGATAAATTCAGCGCCGACATGCCGTAGACTAGCTTGAGTACGTATTGAAATGGTCAGTCACTGTTCACTCGTCATGGGCTACAGGTCAAGCTCGACTCGTAATCAACACAGTCAATGTGTATAGTAAAGGGGAGGGCGGAAAATTTGGACATACAGTACGTATTTTATATGACTTTGTATGGAAAATGTGTCTCGATTGGGGGGGGGGGGTTTTATCGTCATACTGGAGCTAGTCATCTAGTGTACTACACAAACACGCACCGACTGAATCTGGTCCAGGACAACCACGAGTCCTGTCCTTCGGTCCAGTCCGTTCCAGTAGTCCATAATCTACAGATAGAGATAACCTTCAATCAATTTCATCAAAATCGCTTGGTACTTTACAGTACATTGTACTGTAAAGTACTTGCGGAGTACTGTACAGTACAGTGTTTCAGCAGTACTAGTACAGTACTGAGTACAGTACACTACTGAGGGTGAGTCAAAAACCGTGGAAGTAAATTTGAACTCGATGGTCAAAAATAAAGTGCTGACAACACTGGTTCCAACCCGCTCAACAATAAGAAAAACCAGTGTTGCATCATGCAATATCAGCGGTGATACAACACTGGTTTTGCATAGCTATTTTCCCGTAAAAGTTTTCCTCTTCACTCGCGCTTTTTCTTTGCTTTATCTTTGATAACGTACACTGTACTGTGCAATGCACACAGGCAACTTCCTAGTACTGCAGGTTTGCTGGGTCATCTTGGCTTTTTTCCCTTTTTTTCATCATGACGCAGATATAAATTAATTAATAATACAGACTTATACAGTAGTCCAGTACCGCCGTACGTCGTATTGTACCGTACCGTACAGTACGGAGCGCTGCAGTTGTACTGTAGAATGGGCAATACTGTACTGTACTGTACTGTAACGTAGGGTGCACAACGGCACAAATAAATTGTCATTGCATGGTAGCTCATATTTGCCACTTTTCTATGGATTATTACAGAAGAAAGGACTGAGAAGATGACAGCTTATTTTGCACATTTCGTCACTGAGTGCAGTGGCCTACAGTGCATGTATCGTTATTGCACTGTGTACTGTACAGTATAGAACTGTATAAATAGTAAAGATTCTGACGACTCTTCATTGTTTCCTCAGATATCACGTCCGCTGGCTCGAAACGCTTTTCGTCCAAGGATCAATTTCTCTGTATTTCTCTTTTTTTCTCTTGTTTGAGAATTTTTTTCCGCCATTTCGCGAGAAAACATCAAAGGAGGTCGTACGAAGCGACCACATTACTGTAAGCATTGACAACAATGTAGCCAACCATAGCCTAACTACTGTAGTACGGTAAAGAAGAAAGTAAAATAAAAAACAAGGATAAAAACCCCAATTTTATGCTTCTTAGTGGTGTTGTTGATAAACTGGAATGCCTTTGTCGCTTCGGTACGGTGTACTGTACAATGTACTGTACTGTATTCATTGTGATATCGTAGGCCGTCAGTCAAGAATTTTTTGGCTGGTACCGTACCGGTACGTCTTTGTTCATTACAAGTTTCCAGTATAGTACAGTACTGTACTGGAGAACAATTTTCTGCAGGAAAGTCGCAGCTTTCAACCATCAAAATGATGTGAAATTGGATTGTCGTTTAGTAATTGTTGCATACGGAGTCTTTATTATTATTAAACATGTTAATTATTTGGTAGCTAATTGATCGAATCCATTTCTTCATGGATGGGAGCATACCTTGATATTGATCAATTAAATTGGAGATGATGGTTTGCATGCAAATACGTAAGCAAACTTTTCGCTTTATCTTCATATGAATTGACTTCGCATTTCCGAATGAAGAAGCAAGTTGCAAAACACGAGTGTGCAGTGCTAGTGTAGCAATACGTAAGAGTTGGTTCTATCCATTCCTAGTCATTGCTACAAAATGTTTATAGTCATAGATCGCCTTTATTTTAGCCTCCATTATTTTCTATTCCACCTTCAACCTTTACCCCAAAGATTTTGGATATACAAGATTGAATTGTTGACATCATTTAGTACTGTTATTGTCTGATTTGTGAATACTTAATCCGCCTTCGATGAAAGTACAGTACAGCAAATTGAAGCGATTTATTGACGCCAAAGGCGCGGCAGAATATTGCTTTTGGCCTTAATTTGACTTCCTTTTTTTTTAGGGGGAACTCCTGCAGTGATCTCAATTTACGTCAATGGCGCAAGCTGGAATTCATGCAATAATCCTGAAAATGGTAGTCAAGCCAATGAGCTGATAGTGGATGATGAAGATGAAGACGATAATATATTACCGTTGCGCCTGTTTAACGTAAGTAATCAAAGGAGTACCGTGTGAAACTGCTAATACAACTACACACACGATATTATAATCATAATTTTTTTATCCTTATAGAATGATGATCTCGATAACATAAATTTCCATCCTGAACTATATCGATTTGATACCATTGATGGCGTAACGGGCAAGGCGATCGCCAAATTCCCAAGTTTTAGGGTTGGCGATGATCTCTATCTACTAGTGGTGGATGAAAACAACAAAACGCAGCATATTTCTCGAGATGGGTAAATTACTATAATTGCTTTGCAATGATTAATCATGTGGCACATTTAATTAAGCTAAAAACTCAGCCGATTCGACACTACAATCCACAGTATATAATGACTACACAATGATTTTGGTTTACTATGACGACAGTTTTAAGTTCGCATAATGATATTTACATCATGATTTACTTCTGCTAGGTTAGTAACAGTGCTCGATAAAGCCGAAGAAATGGATTGCTCACATGTTTTTGTTGTATTTCCGTCACAATCTGAAGATAGAGGTAATTGAAGATGGTGTTTGTAACTTGTATACTGTCTCATAAAGCGATGATACCTGTATTGTTGCTCGCAGCGAAATAGACATACTCTGAAATTGTTATTGATAGCTTATCTTTGGTTGGATTTAACTTAATCTTTGTTAATTTATAAATGACTTTCGTAGATTCCAATTATGTTATATGCGTATTCTATTCCTTAACATTTTTTGTTTTTAACAGATACGCTCATTAAGATATTCATGTATGTTGGATTCCACGTGGTACTCCCTGGACGAATGGGCACACCCAGTAACCCGTCATTTATATATATGTGCCTTGAAATCGAGAAATTTGATGATGATGATGATTGACAATAAGAATACTGGACAGCACCATGCTGTTCGATTTCGGTACCCTTTGCATGGGTTGGGATTGTTACACTATTTTAGTCGTTACTGTAGTTAGTTAAAGTAGATTTAATTGGGCATGGATCTCTGCGATCCAATTACATTTTGATTTACGTTACACTGGTATGTAATTAATTAATGAACTATATTGGGGCTATTTAGATGCCTTCATACTCGTCGATATTAGTATTCATTTATCTACGTCCATGTTATTCACGTTATGTTGGTAACACTGTTCATTAAAATATGTTTGCTGCCACTCTTTCTACTCTGTGCGTATTCAACTACACGTAGCATGTAATTTGCGTAAATAAAGTTTCTCTTTTTACTGCGAATATGAATAGTAAACTTTCGTATATGTACATAGCGATATGCAATGATATCGCTATAATAGTCAAGTTGAAATTTTGCGAAAGCGAAATATACTTGCTTGTGTCTGGCGGTGCGATACGAGGAACATTTATAAATGGTGTACCTGGTGACACTTCGCACTCAGCAGGTTACTCTGATAAAGAGTATGATACTAAGGCTTTATTGATAGATGTCTAATGTCTAACAAGTAAGCTACTGAAATACTCGCATCAATTCAATCTTGAATATTATCAAAGTTATTGAGAGCGATGTCTTTTTAGTGAAATCGTTTAATTTGGCACGCGATAGTGCTTCTAAAGGATTAAAAGATGCTTAAAATTTCAAATAATGACTTGAAGCAGATCCACGAATGTGCTTCAATTTGCTAATGTTTAATATCAAATTCCATAAGTATAGCATGCGTTAGTTCGATGCTGGTGCAGGCAAAATTCTTGGACTTAGTTTCTCCCTGTAGTGAGAGGTCAAAGTGCAGGTTCATATTATTAATAATGCCCCCTTTAAGCTAAGTAGCTATAGTATACTATACGGTGTTACTACATCTACTCTATATGAATTTAATGACCATGGCAGTTTAGAGTGAATACCGGTTTCTATTCAAATGTTGATATAAAATTCTGATAGACGACATTATAACTTTTGCTTATCTACTAGGATGATATCATCGGTCTAAATTAAAAAAAATATTATGTAATATCATAACAAAAGGGAGTTTAGAAGCTTACATTATATGTTCGCACTTTATAAAGAATTTGCACACAAGACGATTGAAGAAACGTAATTCTCGACCCAATGGATTATGACTACAATAACGCCATATATTATATGCGTACGAGTACTTCGCTAGAACTGCATGTAATCATACTAAATATGTATATTGCGGTTATACGTATATGTATAGGAAATATTCAATTTTAGAAATCTATCTATCTGAAACAATATTGTTGATACGACGCAATCGTTTGCCGTGAATTATTAATATTCATTGGATATACGAAGTCCAATAATAGTCTAAATCGAAGTTTGTTTATTTTACTTACACAAACGCATTTCGCACCGTTCTCCATATAAAGAGAAGCGTCATAACCCTGTCTCTCCCCTCGATACTATAGTATTATTTAAAGTAACCATTTGATCATCTTCATGACAGAATTTTTACATATTTAATTCCAGCCTTTAATCTACAATATTTTACTGAAACTGTACCACACTTTAGGTAGTATTACTATAGTACTAAAATTATTGCAGCGGACGTGTTATTAAATTACCCGCATTTTTTCATCTTGCTTGAACTATTTTGATAATTTTAAAAACGCTGCATTAGAAATAACTAGCATATCAAACAGGATGAGTCAGTCTTCCTCTATTTATGATGACGTTGCTGCTATTAGGTATCCGAAACTTTCAGTTATTTTCATATTCCTTTCTGCTATGAAGTTCACTAACTAAAGCAAATATTAAAACTACCTTTGATTAGAAGTACAAATAGAATGTCTGAAAAAAACGATCAAACAACAAATCTTACCGAATCGTTGAAAACAGGTTTACAAGGTAAATTAGAGCAATATTCGTATAGAATATATGGTGTAGGAGTATTCATAATATAATAATACATAAATAGTTTGATGGTTATTTAGTAGGTTAATTGGTATCACGATCAAATTAGCGCCATATAGTAATGCGCATATTATTTATAGAATGTGTCACTACTGATGTCAGGCAAGCTAAGCTTTTCCAATCTAGTTAATCGGCTATATCACTTCATTTTAACATTTTGTACGTTAATCTAGCATGCTAGGACGGATAAATATTCTGCTACTGTTTATCATAAGTTTACTAATTGACATTTGTCAATTTGAAGGTTTTTTTATTTAGACCAAACTATATGACAGTCGTCAAAATTGTTATGTGCTTACCGTACTTTAACTTGTATAGTTATACAACACTAGAACAAAAGTAATAAACAACTTCACTAAATAATATGGTATCAATCTACAAATTTGTATACCTAATCGGACTCAGAAAATTTTAAAGGTTCAATTTAATTAGTATAAGCGACTATACTCCATCAAAAAGTTTATCTTAGTATCGTGAAACACTCATTTTAATTTAAATCTTTCAATGTCGCAAAATGTTCTAATAAAAGATCCGCTAGCAATTACTGTATGTCATTCCGGTTAGAATAAAAAGATCTTAAACTTTTCATCCTATCATGTGGCCCAAAATTACCAAGTGTTGCAATCTCATCGAAAATGTCATAATTTTATGGTACTCTTGTTTTATCATTTTTAACACAACCCTGTTGGTACTTGCCGTCAATAAAAGTTCCTTGACCGGATAATTTTGATCTTAAGCAAACTGATACGTATATGCTTGTAAACTATGGTGAAATAGATATTATACAGCACTTATTAATATTTATTTCAAATGATACTTTATGTAGGATCTCAATGTAGATCTAATTATAATTATAAATGTTCGTTTATAGCAACAACCTCCAGTATAACTTTTACACTGACCAATATTTCTCACATTTGCGCATGTAAAGTTTGTTAAATATTTGCTGCTTCGCTCACCTTGAAGTATGCAAACAGATGCTAGAACTTGAAGTTAATATTAAAATAAAATTTATTAGGCAACGGAACGAATCTAAAGCGATATTAATGGTACTGGTTCTAACCTATATTGATTTTTTTCCCCCATTTTTAGATACAAATAAGGACAACCCTGTTTATGATAAAGGTTGGCCACGATAATTTTATGTATAGTTGCATACACATATAAATATAATTATTAATCGGGAAACTTATATTTTCTCTTAAATTTACATAATCATTTATTTCAATTCTCGTTTATAGCTGCAGTTTTAACAGCAGTAGCCAATCTAGCTAACGCAACAGCTGATGCGGTATCTGCAGCTAAGGTAGATAGCGTCAATTCTAGACCTCGTGTAACTAGTTCTAGTTCCTTGGATAGCATACGGAGTTGTGATAGCTTACTTCCAAAGGAAGAAGATTTTTTCAAGGAAAGATCTAAAACGATTGAAAGTACTTATCATACACCGCGCCCAAGACCAGAAAAGATATCACATACTATGGTCCACCGGAAGCTTCCTCAAATTCCAAAAGAGAGCCGAAGTGCAAGTGTCGCTACTTCATCTCCACATAGGAATACGATTCATAATCTATTAGATACTGGCATTCCTACTCGAAATCGAAATCGCACTGAAGACTCCAATGATCACAGTGCGAAAGGTGTTGCATTACATAATCGAAAATTGCCGGAAATTCCAAAGGGAGACAGTATTTACCGCCTGAGTAATAGTAGCACTACATCACGATCAACTTCGGATTTAAGATCCTTTCAAGATGGTAAACCGAAATCATTTTCAAATCGAGAATTGCCTGAAATTCCTAAGAATGCCGAAGGTAATGCAGCGAAAATCTTGAAATCAGTCCAAGGTCAACACTTACATGTTGGATCGTCTACAGTATCGGAATCAGCTACAGAAAATTTCCAAACAATTGCCCCTTCCCGTCAAGGACCTTTGCCACCTGTGCCACCTCGGGATAGCGATCCAACAGAATCCAAAGAATTTGCAAATCGTCCCTATGTTCGACTAGATTCCTTTTCTAATAGCGACTCCGAAGATCAGATATCACAAGATCAAAATAATAGCCAAGCTAATAATAATAACTTACAAATCCAGGTAGATAGCGCGGAAGAAAATAAAGATAAGAAATTGTCTGTTGGTATGTTAGCGCCGTGGAAGTGGGCTAAAAAACGTCGGGCTAAGCACAATAACAGTAGTGATAACAAAACTGACGAAGGCGAAGATGAAGATTCTGATAGTAGATCAGATAGTACGTTAAATGCAGCTAAAGGACTTTCTCATTCAACTGGCAACTTATCGAATGATGAATCTCAAGATTATTACCCACTTCGAAAATCTAGCAGTATGCCATTACAAGATGAAAAAAGTAATGATATACAATTTCTTACCTTGACTAAAGAATCGTCGTCGTCGTCTAATAGGAAGGCAAGTGGCACACAATCCAAACAGTTCAAACTCCCAGATAATTCTACTATTAAAAGCAATAGTAATATATTGTCCTCGAGTAAAGTAGCAGATATATCGCAAAAAAAAAGTACAGTGAGTTCTAGCAGCATCATACCCGATGATGATTATGTAGAACCGTTAGAAATTCAAAAGATAATTACGGAGGATAACGACAAGTACGACTTCGAGAGGCCGATAAAATCACGACTGAAAAGAAGAACCGCTCGCCGATCTAAAGTTATGGGCCCACAGCTAGCTATTTCCGCTAAACGTCGACCCAGTCAAGCAGGAGATAGCGACGAAACCAAAGAAGAAGTGAAAGAAGAGGCAAAAAAACCGTTTATACAAAAGCAAAAACAGCCATCACGTGAACCTACTGAAGGTCGGCGTAATAGTGCTAACAGAAATTTTGTAGTCTTGAGTTTCATCGATGGAGGAGCTTCCACCAAGAAAGAAACTTCATTCTTTGCCAACCTTAACAAGCCAGTTCGCCTTTTAACACCAATGCTTAACGATCAAGGTTAGCAAGATTATTATATGTACCTAACTTGTTCTAGTTATACTCAATGTAATACTATACATACCAACAAATTATCCATAATCTTCTCTAGATGTAGTTTATTGACTTATACAGTACTATCATTTACGGATAAAAATGTTTACTCTGCCGCAGGTGAAGAAGCGATAGAGTCAAATGATTCAGATGCTGTGCTATCAGTTTTATCACCCACAGTACCTACCGAATTGGTCTATAATGTCAATGCCCGGGAAAGTATTTCAGAAACATTACCGCTCACAATTTTCCAAAAATCGAATTTAGATTCTACCTCCTATCTAGCGCAATTGCAGTTAGCGACCATGACGGAGTTGAATAAAAAATGGAAAAAAGCAGCTATGCCATCCATAGTTAAAGCTAGCGAGCGTAATACCAACTTCTATCAAAAGATTCAATGGAGTGATTTATTATTGATTGCTGACATTAATAATCGTATACCTTGCTTAATTACACCGCATGGTTGCTATATTAGCGTTAAAATTAGTGGACAAGAAAATCTCGGTGTTAATCGTGAATGTATGGGTTCAGTCAAGGTAAGCCACTAGAGATTGAATATTAGCTGAAAATCCACTTGTTTAACTTAAACAGCTTAAATTCGTTGTAATAATGACTTGTATCTTGAAGTATCCAGTAAAGCAACCTGTTAATAATATATTGAACTGTGATATATTTTCTCATACTAATGAATTTGAATCAACTCTTATAGATCGAACCGAATCAACATCATGTCTCCAATTTTGCAGAAAAACTCCTGATTAAACATGATATACGCGTTAGTACAACATTACAGTATCATCGCAATGTCTGTACCACGGTGGCACATTTTAAAGAGAAATTACCTCTAGCTATGCATAGCTTAGTTCGTAATTCAACCACTAATATCAATCTAAATAATCCAGTATCATGTCTTCTATTAGATTGTTCGCCTATTTGCACAGTAAAGCAATATGTTGATAATTGCGTAAGATATCATGATGTTCATCCATTAGAATACGAATTTACGGTTGTTATGTTAGCATTGCAATTATGTTACGGCTTGCAATATCTGCATAGTGTAAAAGTTGTTCATCGTGATTTATCCTTGGATAATTTGCTATTGGTTAAAAGTCAAGATGATCTCTATGCGCCAGTGGAGTTATCCATAACCAATTTTAGCTATTCACTACATCAAGTTGGTGTTGAAAATCCGTTCAAAATTTCCATCAATGCGGCGTTAGCTAATATTGGTGGCAATACAGAACATCTACCGCCCGAAATTGTTAATGTTCATGAAACTTCAACTGAACTGGATTATCAATATTGTGATCAATTTGCCGCTGGATGTATCATTTATGAAATGTTACATTTAGATAATCCCTTTGCAGATCCTACTGTTCAATTAGCTATGCAAGATTATCGCATTAGCGATTTACCACTAATACCTATTCGTTCTGCTCTGTCTCAATCCATTGAACGAATTGCTTTCGCTTTTTTAAACCGTAAACCAGAAGAACGTTTAACTATCGAAAGAGCGATACGATTATTAGGATTTATTTTATGGGGACCGGAAGTGTTGAAAAGCAATAATAAGCCACCTAAAACCCAGAATGCTGTCACTAATTGGTTAATTTGTAAGCGTCAAGAATTCCTTTGTTATCTCGTGGAAAAATCCACTAGTACTTTCTTAGATGATTCCATTGAAGTTTCTAGCTTTGGATCTGTTTTTACACTAGAAGAGAGTTTAAAACTTCACTTTTTAACCCATGCTACATCGACGTCATTATTAGAAGATTGGACTTTCTTAACGGCTCCACTTCAAGACTCGTAACGATCTTACACAAATTAATTTGGTAACCATCAAGATTAATTAACATCATTCAATGTGACATGCAAGCTAAATCAGCGTCATTTCATAATGATAATGATATAGCTTTTAAAGCATCACTAAATTAATCGATTAAAAGATATCGAATATCTGAAATATGAAATTTATTATGATTTCATTTTGCTATATCAGAAAATCGGTTTACTACATCATGTATTGATACTTTCAATAAAATAACTACAGTTTATTGACTATCATATGTAAACTGGTTTAACCATTTCGATTTCCTGAACTTTTGACATTATTTTTTTGTGAATTTGTAATCCATTAACGAGTTATAGAAATACTAAGGAAGCGTTCTATCCATTTACTACTTTATTACGAATATAACTATTGCCCTATCATTTTTCTAAAAATAATTTATCATCTACTTTACAGATTGTAATAATACCATGAAATAGCAATAATAGAACGATAATTTTGTCATCATACAGTAAACTCTGCAATCTGTGCCAATTGATCAATTGATTTGCTCTTATAACATCTCAAACTTTTTTTTTATTACTTCTGTTATCATCTATAACTGCAAAGTACCATTTATTTTGGAATTGATTTCCTTAAAATTATATATTATCTCGTCTCAAGCTTAGAAGCAATATAAATTCATTTATGTGTTCTTATTTTGTAATCCTGAGTTTATCAAGGGACAGCTGAAGCTATCGCAGTAGTAGGACTTTACTTCAAAACATTTTAATATTAACTTATTGCCAACATACAGTAAAAACCAATAATTATGTCGTCAACTATATGCTCCAATATCATTTACACCAACACATTGTATAGACTCCTACATACTGTAGTTAAACTCATAGTACCTGATTGCAGCATGTATGCTGAAATATAAACCTTCTAATTTACGCATCATCATTGTATCCAGAAACAAGACATTAACTTAATTCATTGCAAAGCCTTGATGTTGCTCTTTTCCTATCGCTTACTAAGAACTTGATATCGGATTTATGGTATACGAGACAATAGTAACTCTTAAGCAACCATTTAAAATTCTCACCATCGAATGGTGATTACAGCATTATCATACCGGTATCGAATGAAATAGGTAAAGAAATTTAGGTTAATAATGTAATTAGACTTTGAAGGCAATAAGTTGCGATTTAATACGCTATCAGGATCTATTCCGTAATCAAATGATCACTTCAGTCGTTTTTAAAAATAAAAGGCATCATCTTTCACCTTATACTTTGATTTTCTGAGTTCGCAGCTGCAATATAGTACCTGTAGTCTAGATTATCGTAACACTCACGAGTAGCCAGCCATCCATCGTTAGATTGTTTCTGCGGCTGAAACATTGCAATCAGCTATTATTGTATAATAAAATGGAAATACAAAAGTTCATTTATTTCAATATACGAAGTAAATGCTTAAATATAGGGATGGCAATTGCACCTCAAAAAAATTCGGCACATGAAAAATTAGATATTAATTTAATTTGCTAACGTTATACACATTTATGACATATAAGAAAAATATATAAGCCCGGTAATGCAGTCATGGATATTATTTTGCCGTAAAGATATGAGCTAAGGTATTTAGCAAGAGACGCAAATATAAGTAAAATAAATTAGAGCTACCGTAACATAAAAACTAAAAATTGTTGCTTAATTGATTAAAGATAGGTTTCTTGCAGTCATGGTCACCTTCAGTTATATCATTTATTTATTTGCCAGGATATTTAAAAGAAGTGCCATGATAAACATTTCTCTTACATTAATTTTAAATTCGGTACTATCTATATATTTTAAAATACGTCTCCATAATCGTTGTGTAGCTCAGGCATAATTCAGCTAATATTTTTACATTGTCTATACTAGAAAATAAATAATTAATCAGCAGATGATTTGGACATAATCTACATTTGTACGCAAGATATAAGTTAAATTGACAATAGTCAATAGTAATCGTAACGCAGGAGTATAAAATCCGTGAATTAAGTTTAAGTTTTCTTGCTTAGCAGACTTCGGTTATAAATTTCTGAAATCGGAAAACAATTTAGTTTCGAGTAAGTATAACTTAAGCGATTGTCTGCCAAAATACTGAAAGCTTCTAAATACGTTATTTAACATGATTTAGCTTCTCTCATCAAAAGGATTAGAAATCTAAGCGAAAGATCTCATTTTTGTTCAAGAAAGTGCTATCACGTTCTTCAAAGAAATTCCCCTAAGTTACTGCATACTCGAAACTACCGTATATTACGAATTGTATCCTTATAAAAATTACTAAACTACAGTACGTTTTCGCTCATCAATAGAAATATTAAGAAGCTTGATCATGCGTATACTTTCCAACATACGATACCTAAAATAGTGCAAATTGGAATAAGGTAATACAGTATACCACTTGTAACTAAAAGAAAAACTGTTAGAAATCCGTGACAATATTTGGTAAATTTTTTGTTGGTCGTACAATGGTAATTTACGCTAGCTAATAATTGTATGGATATTTATTGTAGATGTGCTTGTGTGTTAGTAATTGGGTTTTTTGCAAGCAATAGCGCGATAAATAATGACGTAATTATTATATAATTACGCTATAGAAGTACCTGACACAAAATTTCGGAATAAATTTTCAATCGCAACGTTATCCAAAATTGATATTTCAGAGAAGAATGTAACATTTCCTTCTGTTAAATTTCATAATGTAGTAATTAATTGATTCAGATTATATCATGGTTCACTATCAAAATTAAACTGTAATCATAACTATAGGGTACTAATTCCAAAATTTGCAATACCTGCGAATTTGTTAGCTTCTTTCTCTGATACCGCTCTAGTATTATCTTTATTGCATGTGCTGGTGTTACCGAGTAATAATGTCACGATATTTTCATCAGCATCTGCCATCATATCATGAACCCAATTACGGACGTTATGGAAAGTGTGCCGTTTAGTAACATCATAAATCAATAATGCACCTGCAGCACTACGATAATATCTATATTGCAAAGACAATAATTAGTACTACCGTAATTTCGCAATAGTAATATCTTCAAAGTAGAAGCTAAGGATACGCTTCATACTATTTTTTCTAGAAAATGAAAAATTGGGTAATAGATAGTGTTTACTTATTAATACTTACGAACTATAAAGTCCTCTAAATCTGTTTTGACTTGCTGTAATTTTTTGTAAAGAATATCATTATTATTAATAATAAATTACATACAACAGTAGCAAATATATTTAATTTGCACTATAATTATATAGTAAATAAATTATTATAGTTGTTACGATTAGAGTTAATACCACATTAAGATACTTTACAGGAATGAAAGCTGTTATATGAGCAATATTTATACTGCCAAGTATGATCCTGCAAATAATATGGGATACTTACTAATATACCAAATTTGTACTTCAACAATTTTACCATCAATGTGCATATTTCTGAAAGTAAAGTCTACACCAACGGTACTACCGTAATCAGTGTGGACGTTACCACCTTCAAATTGTGAGTATAGATCTAATTTTTCACAGTCAGGATCACCGAGCAATAATACTAAGGTTGAATAAACGATTACAGTTCATTAGCATTAATACTCTGTTGGTGGAGAATTTTATATCCTAGGCTAATATATTGATCTATACAGTAATCATCGCTTGGATAAAGATATACTCAATGGCATATCGAAAACCGTGACATGATACTTATAATTAGAGTATCAATTAAATTAAGATACCTACAGTAGTATCGTACAAGATCTCGTAAAATCGAATCATAAATGCATCGCTAAATAGAATACCTTTAAAAGGAGCATGGAATTTTAATGGTGAGTTCTCAATAGCATGAACGAACTACACGAAAAAATTAAAACATACAATGTTAGCATTAAATATTCAACATTTATATACTACGGTAATATTATGATTAATACAATAGCCAACAACCACAATTTCTACACATTAGGAGACGATAAATGTGCCAAATGAGTTTAATCATACGCGTATCCTCCTACTCAGCGGCGAATTACCTGCTTTCGATAAATCTCTGTCAAGACAATAACAGTTTATATTAGCAATCTGAATTTAATGTACAGTATTGCTTAGCTTATAAATAGAAAGAAAGGGCTCAATCTATGTTATCCAGACCAGCATTTACTGATCAGCATCCGTAATCGATGATTTCTATAGCCTATACAATTTGATAAGAGTTGATTTCATCATACCTGCCATAAATCGTTGGAATGCACTTTCGACAATAGTAGTGTCAGAAATGCATGTTTCCACATAATACGAAGTTTTATTTTCTAAAAGTAGGAATGCATAATCATTACAGATATTCAGCAATGATAATAAAGTTGAAAGGCATCCTTACACTCCCATTTATATTTTGATGGCAAAATAGACAATTTCTCTGTTATATGTACAGTACATAAGCATAGTGTTAAACTACTCTTAGCTATCAGAAATTAATAGCTCAATCTGATTACCAAACTTTACTTCAGTTTTTGACACAGCTCTTTCCATTCCTTCATTATATTTGCTCGTATTTCCAATTAATAAGGTTACCAATTTATTATCGCCGTAGACATAAGAGTCATTTAACCAATCTCTAATATTTTCGTACGTATGACGTTTGGTAACATCAAATATAAAAATAACCCCAGTTGCTCCTCGAAAATAATACCTAGGGGCCAGATACGCAGTACTGAATGTTAGTATCGCATGATTGGCTCATAAAAATTATTTACATTGACGGTATGACGCATACAGTATACTTTGTAAGTTAGGCTGAAATAGTGTTAAAAATAATTTAATTCACTTACGGGCTTCTAACTGCTTTCAATTGGTCTTGATAAACTAAAATGCAAATGCAAAATTATAAATATTTCAAATTGGAAGTGTAATTTACGCTCATACACTTTTACAATTTTATACAGTTAGCATTTACTCTCTATAAAAAGAAGTACAGCTGATGATTTCAATAAAAACAATCCTGTTATTTTTAAACAAATCATCGCTATAAAAAACTGATATACTCGTATAAAAGAAATCATTCTTTAAACTTGAAATTACTGAAAGGTATCTGTAATTTACTGTAAATGATATTTCTATGTAGGTGCATAATCAGCTGTGGTAGTGAACTCCTCTAATAATTGATAGGTTTGGACAAGAGGAGGAGTATTTAAACTACCGTTTATTCCGAAATACTATATATTTGATGTAAAAAAATTTTAAATGTAAACGTCTACATGCATCCTCTAATATACAAAGTCACAGTATGCAAGAGCTACTAAACTTTATCAATCGATACTAACAAGAGATAATCAAAGAAAGAACTATCGTTTCATTAGCACCAGATCAATTATTGTTCTGTGATATGTTAGAGGGTTACTATGTCTATCCATCGAAATATTTCACGGAAGGAATTAATGAAGATCCAATGTATTTCGATAGTACTACAGGTAGTACACGTATATAGAACATAATAAAGCTACTGACTAGCTATCATCAGTTACCGGTATCCCAAATTTGAGCCTTTACCAATTTGAAACCGATTTTGACACTTTTCACGGCATAGTCTACGCCAATCGTACTAATAAAGTCTACCTTAGGAGAATCTTTATTAAAATAGGAATAAAGTTCCTTCTTTCCAGAGTCAGAGTGACCAAGTAATAGTACTATCAAACAGAAGGATGGAACAAACGAGACTAATATAAGTTTAAGCCGTTTCATGGAAATTTGATCAATACCAGTAAAAATGTAAGTAAAATACTTAACAGTCATCACGGTAGTCACTAACAGCACGTAATACTGTCACGTCTATAAATTCGAGATTACTACACACACTAATAAAATACTGTAATTTATGGGTATGTTAGGGTACGATAATGAAAGAGTATGCGTAAAATTACATAGTTTCCACGAATCTGAGCAGAAAAGCTTTTGCAAAATTGACTACAGTTCCTAAATAGCAGTTAGTACTGTACCGCACGTAATCATGATACCAATATTGAATGATACGATAAGTTGTAGCACAACAAAGATATCAATGAGAGGTTAAATACTTTTTAAAATGAGAGAGCTTCAAAGTACCAGTTAAGTAATGCATTAACTGTACACATACTGTACACAAGTTAAGTGGATGTGGTGAACTATTTTACAATACTGTAGATGATTTTTGTAGATACTGTAAGGTTATGCATTTGTACAGTACAGTATGTTATTGCAAGAGCTTGAAATTGATATACGAGTACACCATCAAACTACAGTATACATATTTATTAATGATAAAACAACATGGTCACGATTCATTAAGATGTTCCTTGTATTGTTAGTAAACATTTCCACGCACACTTGTATACTACTAAGTAAGAGCATACGGTAGTACCTCGTATGCCCATGACAGGAGAGATTCATCAAAGTTATGAAATTGCATTAGTAATTCAAATTAAAGATTAAAACAAAATCTAGTATTCCAATATGCTCAAATCAATTACTAAACACGATGCAAAGTGAAATAATAGTTTTTAAATATTTCTGTCAATCCTATCATTACTTTCAAAGTAGCGCAAATTTCCATCTGTACACATCATTGGCACTATAATGCCTACGCTGATAGCTTTGTTTTAGGTAATAATACCAATGAGTATTGTCCACTATAAAGGAGTTTAATTGTATAATTTTGATTGTGTGTCGATGGTAGTTTATAAGAAATTATGATTACTTCGCTACCGGACAATTTAAATGTGTCCATTGAATTTTCGTATAATCTCTGGATAATTTGCCAGTAACTAGCAAAGATTAACGTAATTAGAATGACACACAGTTGGTCAATAACAAGATCAACAGTTGTGCTTTGCACAGAGTGAAAGTTTTCATGCTTGACCAACTGATCATCTTGTGCTTGAATGAATTATTACAGTACATTATTAACATTTTTATTACTGAACGACAACATATAAATGGTCAACGTCAAAAAAAAGTATCTCAATGAATAAAAGATGTCACTGACGATACTTCAATTGGTCTTTACGATCAAATTACTTGTTCCTGTAAATTGATCGATTCCGTTTACATACTTTATCATCATGCGATGTTAACATCAGATACACGAAGTGCGTAAACAGTACACATTAGTATTAAACTAGAGACGGAACTATTGAAGAATAACATCAAATGAAAATAGAAATTCACTCTTTAACTACTGTACTACCATAAAGATGCAACAAGTCAGAAGTACAAAAATCAATGTAACTCAGTCGATCCAATAAGGTGCAACAGTCGAATACAACGATAAACAAGTTCATCATAACATGGCTACCATTCTCATCCGTAATCAATCACGTTCATCGTACGGTACGTCATCATTTTATTTCATCAATCACGGTACATTTACTATTTGATCCAGTAGTATACTTCTATTATTCTCTAGTAATACAGTAACAAATAAATTAATCCCTACGATGAATAAAAATTAGTTGATGGAATGATGCTCAATCGGGGGAAAGCTATTAAGTCTTCGACTTGTAATTCTATCCAATCAATGAGAATCTACACTCTACGCATTACAGTCTATCGAAATCATATCAAGAATAGAAATGCGAAAAAGTAGCCCAATCTTTTAAACTGAACATGGAATATTTTCATTAATACATAGACCGATACAAGAATGTAAAGAGGGTCATGGTGTTGTTGATATCAACATGACATGTACTTGGGAAATCCGTGTTCGGTCAGTGAAAACGTACCTTTGAAAGTGAAATCATTCCTGCAATCTTGTGAAGCCATTGCAAAGCGTATTTTTTCCTCCGAGAGAGTACGTAATCAGTGATGAAATGGCTGGAATTCTCAAACCTAAGGACATTCAAGACCTATCCGTTACTCTGCTTGAAAACTAACTATTATTTGATCCTATACAGAGATGAACTGTTGTTGAATTGATAACAGGATAGACGTACCTACGATCAATGGAAAGGATTGAAGAATTTCTTGCCAATTTCAATGGCAGTGAAGTTGGTGTACCAGAAAAAAAAAATTCTGATTGACTTCCACTCATGCAATCAATGACCAATGTTATTTCCACGTTGAAGTCAATAGAATGGAGAGTGATTGAAATTCGCAATGGGTTATGGAATATTCAGGATAGAAGCAAGTGGTTTAACAAGTTGACTGGACAAATAAAAGAGTTATTTACAACCTACAGAGTATTTCTACCTCCATAATTAACCAAGGCCAAAGAGAAATTGTTGTAATTATTATTATGGGGATGGAAATCCAAAAAAGAAATAACTTGCCAGTGAAATGGACCAATGCTGACGTGCTATATGAAGTTATTGACCGCAAGTCATCCTGTCGATTGTCGCACAGAAGAGATTGAAGTGACTCTATGATAATGACTTCAAGCTTAGCGCTGATTTGCAGTGACTGCGGGAAAGACAATGGAAAAATGAACAACGTTGTAATGCCGGTTGACTCACCACAGCTTGACTCCTTCGTCATGACAATCGCAATTGAATGGGGGGGGTGTTCGTATTGACGTTGCACACAATGCGCAGTGACAATGTGACGCGCTTATCGACACTACTATTCCCAAAGGTAGACACGATCGAAAACGATTGAAACGCACAACGGACGTACACTGCAGACGGGGCCGTTATGATTCCCCCCAATATACGCCAGCCGGCAACACACACAGTACGAATCTCTACAGTAAGCTATTACACTGGGTGCCGTCTCCACACTATCGGTTCAATACCAACTGAACCCAATTCTAAAATGTAGCACGGACACTAATATCCGACATTTTGAAATATAATATAATTTACTACCTCTTGCTGAAACTGCTCTCGAATAGGTAGTAAAAATATAATTACAAAATGCCGGAGACTAACGTACATTCTTACAGTAACGTAGCAGGCAATCAACTACTGTAGTCATAATTTAGAAATCAATAATAATAACAATACTAGACATCCAGTACTGCAAAAAATAGTATTGTTTTCTACTACATCACATTCCGATTTGCGCTGGCACCATTTCATTTCTTCCAAGTTCATTTTTCAGTCAATATTGGCAAAGAAACAAACTCCTTTCGCCATCGATTCACTGATATAGAATACTGTTTAAATGAGTCATGACTGTCAATTCAAAAATGATTTTCCCAATTTAAATCCATGCTGTTAAAAAATTGTGACAGTGAGTGTTAAAAATAATAATAAAACCAAGCTAAATCACACCAGTCTAGGTTAACTTAATATACCCTTAGCTGGTTGACTACCCTTGAATATTTTGTTATTTTTCCTTAATACTTTGAAAGACTGATATATGATAGCTATTTATGAGCCAAAGTTGTATGAAAATAGAAAGGGCCACCAGTCAATCATAAATAAATCATCAGAGGCTTATTAACTCTCCATTTGGCCATGATGGTATTACAAAAAAAAAACACTTCTTCGTTATGTACAGTATATAGGATACAGCTTGTTCTTTAGCATTCATCATGACCAATCATTTCAAGGATAAAAAAATTGGAAGGTTTTTAGTTGTTATAGAAGCGCTGGGTAACCCATAGTCTTGTTCACTTTCAGTAACTTGGGCGTTTCGTAATAATCCATATTTGCTTTGTTACATCATAATATCGTAGTACAGTCGCGTGGAAGTGAGTGCTGTACAGTAGTAAATAAATAAAGAACTGCCATTGGGGTTTTACCCATATATGCACGTAAGACGTTCTTTACTAGGAATCAATGTCTTGACTTGCATTTTTCGTCATATTGTTTTTCTTCTTCATCACATTTCCGGTGTCGTACTTGCTATAAGCGTATGCTATACAAGAGTTTGTTTCATAGCAGGTTATCTAATCAATAACTACTGTACATCACTGACTAATGCAAATTTAGTGGGTAATCGTTGTCAATTAGGCCTAACCTGCTACTTTTAGAAAGCAAAAGACTAAATAAATAAACACGGTAGCACACCCTAAATTAAGCGATACTAAGAACTAGTAAAAAAGACAGTATTATGATATGTTAATGATTCACTACATTCAATGCTATTTGTCAGTAGCACAGCCGATCTTCGTACAATTATGAAATGTTTTGCTTGATTACTTATGGTATACTGTAGCAGGAACTTTTAATTTCCTCTTAGATGCCCTGACAGCGGAAATTCGTTGCTTTCCATACAGGATTGGTTATGCGAGCGTATACAGCTCTGCCATGAAGATAAAACATCACACACTCTTGATGCTGGAATAACCACGTCTTTTAAATAGACATGTTTTTGATATACAAATAGAAAGCTTGTGTCAAACTCCTTTTTCCAAAATAGTCTTCATCTATTCTTAACTTACCGTAGAAAAGTATTTACTAATATAAGTACATATACGGTGAAGTTATATTGTTTTCGCATGCGTATGCTATCACTATTCCTAAGCTACTTTACAGTAAAGAGATTTATAGTACTATTTCTCTTGATCAACTTTGCGCTTACATTTATTCGTGATTAATAATTGAATGCCTTTCAAAAACAGAATCAACACCATAACTGCTTATCCTTGGCTGTATAATATCGGTACCCCATTACAGCCTATCACTCTATACCACTTGTAATGGATTCTTCGCATAGAAATGCTATTTCACACATTATTTATGTATCGATGTATATTATATGCTGGTGCAACTTGATGTTATTGCATATACTGAATCGGTCGGTTATCAATGACAGTCTTATTGCGGTTACCTGTTGTTAGGCAAACAGCCCATTTCTGTCAAAACTATTCACTTTAGCTACGGTAGTAATTGTATTTAATGTTAATTGTCCACTTTTGATTATGGAATTATACAGAAATGCATATTCGACTGGTGCAGATCTATTGATTCATGGCATATGACCAACCTCTGGCAAGCAGTTAATTACAACAGAAAGAGTATAAAGATTTAAAGTTGAATACTTAATATGGCCATAATTGAAGAGGATGATCATCCTATTAGTTGGAAAATTTAGTTCAACATGCATAGCACAAGGACACGAAAGAATTGCTGAAAAGAATTATGGTTCACTTCTTATCAACCCTGTTGTTATACGCGTAATCCCTTAATAAGGATGCTAGTAAAATTGATACAAAATAGCTTTGTAAATGGAATATATAAATAGTACGATGATGTTAATTAAATGCAAATACATCTCTTCAGAATATACGCGTACTCGTACCGTAATAACGGGTAAGATTTGCTATATAAGGGTAATAAAATGACTTGGAATGTGGTAGATACATACTTCATAATTAAAGCACACTCAAACATTATATTATGCATGGCAACGCAATTTATGAGTTGAAAATTTGATCAGAGGACTTTATACCTGCACTCTATCGTAAAAATTTTAAAGTTGACTAGGTAGTAAAATCCACAGAAAAACGCGAAAATTTTGTATACAGGAACAATTTTTTGAATCTGCTGTAGAATATTATGAGACTTCTAAGTGTAGTACATCCTAAGATTTCTTGACCCGTAGTAAAATTTCACGACATGACTATAAATTACAAGCACTGGTAGTTCAAAATACCACCAAGTAACCTACTCCTGCATAGAATAACGGAAAATTATCAAATTGGTAGATTGACTCAATGGACAAAAGCTTTCAATGCTGTATTAGGGTTCTCTAGCCTTGCAAAAATATGACGTCTAACTCATTTTAGTTCATTCCTACTATCAACAAATTCAGTTTCTGTCATTTAGCCAATATCGTGTTCATTGCTCACTACTGCAAGAAATCAATCATGAAAGTCAGCCATTTCTTTTTTGTTTTTAATCTACAGACAAGTAGAAGGTAAGCATTGTATTTCAACAACAGAACAATCCATTAATGCTGCCAAGATATAAAATAGTCAAGCCAAAACAAATTCAATTATCATAAAGTATTTGTTAGAAAGGATCAATTTCCCTAATAAATTGAATCTATTACAGAACAATCTACTAATGTGTATCTGTATCTAGTAGAGCTTACACAGTTAAATTGAATTCAATAAAATCATTATTAACAGCCAAAATTCATTTGATGGACGAGAAATTGCAATATTAAACAAAGAGTTGACACAATTATAACTTCAGTATAAAATACTTCAATTTTAAGCGATTTGATTTCTGTTAATTTTGTTAATCAAACTATTGTGGCATTATATGAAATCAATAACAATCCTTCTGATATAGAGTAATAAAGCGTATTAAACGAAAGCTATCACCATTTTAGCTTATTTTCTTAGCATAGCAATACCGCAATGTAGTATATTTGTTAAATTACTTGGCAATCGATGTAGAGTTAACTTTACGGAATTAATCCATAATGAGGAAAAAACATATCGGTGATGGTTATCATGGTTGCTACTAAACTTTAGGTAGCTAATTCGATAAAATTCGCCATTTCAAACCATTCCATATAATTAAACGCAATTAATTGAAATAATTTCTTCACGTACGCTAGCGTTTATAAAGGATAACATAAAAGACTATGATAGGAAAACTCACATAGCAACATTTAGAATAGCTATTAAATATAGACCTGATCAATTCATTGATATTTTCAAACGTTGACTCTGTAATCGTATCATAAGTTCGATCGATCTCGTATGGATAAATATCAGCTGAAAGTACTGCAAAATGCAATGATGCAGTTTTGGAGACATCAATCATGAATGGTATAAAAAAGTAACGGCTAATGTCCATATTTATAGAACAGAATGCAATTTGTGGTATGGATTATCGATTCACGATTAAATAGGTATAAAGTAATAATTGCAAAGCATCTGCTGCTTAACAGTAAATATTTTATATTTTAATTATTTAATGCTTTTTCTTGCTATAAATGCAATAGCAAAGGCATGAAGCGAAGAGCGAAAAAGCATGCAAGCCGTAGCATCAACTGGGGTTTCTTGTTCAATTTTTTTAAATATAATTTACTACTAGTTATAGAAAACAAATATAACGATAATAATCCTATATTTAGCTAATCAATTTTTTTCTCAGTAGCGACAGCAATCATTGTAAGCGCAAGCAGAAAGCGTGAATAAATCATAATTTATTCGATTTTCCTCTCACAAATAGGTCGTGACTAAGCCACAAGATGATTGCGGTGGATGGATGGCTATGCAAAAACAGGGATAGATTTTTGTTATCAATTAGAATAATTATGGTATAATAGTCACTACACTAATTACTGCATATTTCGAAATTTTACGCATTGTTTGACTCAAAAAGTAGAAAGTAGAACTGAATTCATCAATTTCTTATTTGCTATTACCTCACCCATCTTTTTTCTAGCATATTCTATTCGAATCCCACCGCATTCGGAAGACTGAATAATGGCTCTAAAATATAAATACTTAGGTTACATGTGTGATGATAACCTGGCTTAAGTAGAGTTTGCCACCATCACCGCTAATAATTATTGCGAAAGTTATAATAATTATGCAGGGCTGTAAGTATATAAAAATAATCGATCAAATTGGGTAGAATAACGAGCAAAGTATCTATATTTACGCATAATACATCGTCATGTACACCATGTAAATGAAATATAATACAAATTAGGTATATGCCGATGTCTAAAACTTTCTTAGATTCTTTTAAATAAGGACGTCAACTTACCCTTGCAGCGCATTTAGAGCTTGTGTTGCAAACTGGATATTCTATTATACATTTATTGTGATGTAATTAGTAAATATGCGTATATACACACCTATACAATTTTACCACTTACTTATACTGCGAATATATATCAGAAATTTCATTAATAATATAATACATGCAAGATGGAATGATCAACTTACAGCAAACTCTATAAACGCGGTTGTTGGAAATCCTGGCTTTTTATGCATTCGTAGTCTTCGAAAGCCAACACATCTAGTGTATTATTGATTATTCTATCATTACTTTCATACAAGAATGCCAAATGCTTTAATATTAGTTAGACTAACTACCGGTATATAGTGAAACAGGCTTCAATAATGGTTCAATATTTTTATCTTATCAATTTACCGCATAAGACAAAGTAGCAGTCTAGCAATGGCTAGTAATTACGCGTTTTAAACTCTTACCGTCCAAATATATCTCGTAGTTCTTTATCAGTTATATTACGACCTAAGTTAGCAACAAAAAGCGTGCTACAAACTTGAGGCAGTTGCTGCTGAAAGCTTTGCATGTGAGGCTGTAGCACAGGAGGAGCCGAATGACAAGCTGGCTGTGGAATTTCAGTAGGACATGGATAACTAAAGTATTAAAAATAATATAGCTATTGCCAATTTTTATTCATCAAGCTGTAAATTAAAGATTTATAGTATAGCTAAGTCCGTAAAAATTGGATTATCGACTTTTTTTGTTCGTTTTTTATAATTAAAATTCTTAATATATGCTAGTATAATTCTCAAGTCCCAATTGGTCTAAGTTAGAGAATATAAACATCACGGTACTTACATTGGTATGTGATTAACGTAGGTTTCAGGTATGATATTTTGATAATACGTCGGAGTCAGGTCGATAGTAGCTATTTGAATTGTAAAGAGTAACAAATAGCAAATTTTAAGTACGTAAAATTTTACATTTCGTTAAATTGTATATCTTAGAAGAGTTTTGAAATATAAGAATATAATAACAACTCTACAAGATATCTCACTAAATACAACAAAAGAAACGATTAAATTACATTATGGCGCAGCTGTCAATATCAGCAGTAAAGCACAATATTAAGTTTAACGTAGCTGAATTTGTAAATTTTGCAAAATAGTAATCATATCAAGCTGTATTGGGTTTCCACACATGCTGATTAGAACACCTACATATCGAATGTTCTCTGTATATTGGTATGGCTGGATTAGCCAACTCTAATTTATTAGGGATATTGCCGTTATAAATTGTATTTTTCACATTTTGACCATTGGAACTGTTATGGCGAGATCGATATGACTTCGTATTAGATTTTGCGAAATCAACTCTAAGATGACTATCTGTTACGTCTGGATCGAATTGGAATCCCTAATGATCCGGAAGAATAAAAATCGAATAAGAATTTTAATCTAGCCTATATTCATAATATTAAAACTGAATATTCCGGTGACTATTGTCGATAAACTTTTATAAGCATAAATAATTTTAACTAATATGCCTATGCAAAGGATATAGTATCGATATAAAACATCGGAAGGAATCCTTATCATGGTATAAAACGTTTTACCGTAATTTAAATTTAATGTATTATGGTCATTTTACTGAGCTATAATACAGTCATTTCTATACAGTAATGTTATGGCTACGAAAATTTCGCTCTATAAGATTAATAATTTATTTGTAACCTGTAAGATAGCTTTAGCTTCATTTGCTAGCTCCCTAGTTTCAAATGTAGCGAATGCAACGGGCTGTATCATAAAGAAATACCCAGAAGTAAATAAATATAATCAAGATTAAAATTAGTAAAATTATGCTTATACCATGTAAAATACATAGTTTTTGATCGAGAATTAAATACTTTTGATATAATGCTGGAAATATATAGTATAGACTACTATTGGTCGGATAATGATTTTAAAGCGTATATTTTAGCTGGTAGATTCTATAGTAATGTTGCAGCTGAATGCATATCTATTGGTGAAAATATTAACCTTTTCTTAAATATTATTTAGAGTAATTACAGTAACTAGTCGCTACCGATATCTTCAACCTTGCATATTAAAGTGCCAGTATTAAGTATTGAAAAAACTGTTACTTTTTCTCTAATGTATAACTTTAAAATTTATAATCATTACGACAAAAGTAGATTTATAGCTAAATTACGGAATTAAGCAGTTCCAAAAAAATGATTAACGTTTTTAAACATTCTATCTTCCACATACCCCAGATTTATTTCCGTGTCCCGGCTATATAATATATATAAGTATTTAAATTTCAGAAGAAATAGGTCAACTTTTAAATTCTTAAAATCATTTCTTTTAATTGTTATCATGGTAAAGCGAACAAAGTTGATCATGATATATATAATTACTGTAGTAAATAATGCTGTATTACTAACACATAATACACACGTATACAAGCAATCTTCCTACTATTCTTTATTACCATAGGTATTTTACGTGTATCATTTCTATTACTTACTTGCTTGGTTGATGTCTTTAAGATAGAATCTAAATATCCCTAATAAATCGATTAGGAAAATTAGTACTATATTGATGCAATAATGCCGAAGACATAAAGATGATATCATTAGCTTGATGAATATTTACGTACTGGAAGTCCACGAAAGAGTAGATGTAAATCTCTTTGCTTAACATCAACAGGAAGTCCACTCACAAATAATGTGCGAACCTTATTGTAATATAAGAAAATTTTATTAATCTACTGAAATATTATCCAAATTTTGTATGAGTAAGTATTTACTTAATACTACAGCTATCATTAACTAATAGGAAACTATACAAATTAGAAATGCTTAGAAAACTATATTTAGCTCAAATCATATATACAGCGCTAAAGATTGGTGTGTTACCCATTAATAATAACTGAAAGTGTAACCATAATTACTTAGATACTATTAAAGATGGGAATAATATTCCGCTAAATCGATAATTAAAGAACTCTCAATTACCCCTTGCGATAAATAGAAACAATGTGGAGTACCGTTCAGTCTATAATTGCTCCTTCATATGTCTCGTAATAATTTAAATAGTAAATATAATTATTTGACATGGGCAATAATGCCGATAGTAAAGTAGTATCCCAGTTATTAGCCATCAAGTTTTCCGCAGGTTTTAATTCCATAATGTCATTAAAAGAATATTGTATGTCCAGCATTAATTACTTCATAAACCCTTCAATTTTTAAACGGCTGAAAAACAACTTCGTTGGTCTCCTATCTAAATATATACATATACTAGAAATATTCACATCTATTGTGACTATTAGAAGTATGCCAATAATATATAACTCAAGTTTTCATGTACATGAATCTTATTCATATCTAAATGATATTTCGATTGGGTAAGAAAATATTTGAGTAGATTGTGAAACATTCACATGTTCTAATAATTATGCTTGCAATGTGGCTGTAAAATATTGCATCCAAAAGCGACAGAATTTCAATCAATTTCTCACGTTGCCTACAGAAATACCAGACGTTGTTATTCATTTTTCTTAATTATCAGCCATTATTAAGGTTAAATGGCTGCTATGTAATACAAAAAAGTAGCCTAGTATTGCTTAGTAATAAGCAATATTAGGGTGATATCTGTTGCTACACATATGCACTTGTATTTAGTCTGCCATATAATCTGATTATGTTTTAATATTATCACACCATATGTTAGCATCCGTATTTGAGACGATTTCCTGCAGTGAAGTAATAGATTATACATATAATCTGCTCGTTTCACTAATGCAGCAATTGAATGATGATCTATGTAAAAACATCGTATAATTAGAAATAGAAATGCTTTGCTAAAAATATGATTTTCATTCAAAATGCGCTAAGACACTTTGAAGTTAGTAGCTGCCTTAATGCAGCATAAGTGCATATCTATAATTATCGGCCCCCTGTTGCTAATTAGGAAATAAAATTAATGAAATTTTTGTGCAGCCTCGGACTGTTTAATTGCCATTACATTAAGATGTTATATATCCTGTACAGTTGGTTATGGGTATTTTTAGAAGAAAATATCGAGAGTTAGCAGGATCTCTTCTATCAGTGCTGATTTAGGCGAGCACATTTCTTGAGATGATGTTTAAAATAGTAATTAAATTGCTATTACAAAGATATGTAGAAATTGTGCAATATTAAAATAGGTTGACACTTGCAGTAGAATTTTTTGTAGAAAATCAACTAGCTCATGTATAACTTCTTCAATTGCAGAGCTAAGGATTAATAATAGTATATCAAAAATCTCAAAGGATATCAGTCTATTTAAATATTAAAATGTTTTGAAACCTATATAATGCTATGCTTTAATTTGTGTTAGACTACGTGTATAATCTCTTACAAATTATGTAAATTCATAGATATAAATCTGGTTGCTACAGCTTTCTATGATACGGAATGTTAGAATATGCCGATGTCGAATCAATTGGTAAAATTCAACTTATAAAACTAGCAACCAAAGAAAGAATACGAATAGCATTAAATTCTTATGCTGAAATAATGCAATGTTAAGATGAAAGTCGTGTTACAAGAAATAGCATGATTCATTAGCGAAGAAGTTATTAAAACAGACTAGAGATAGTCTTTCTTAAATCTGTAAATTATAAATGATAGCTAGAGCATAAATTAGATTTAAAATTGAAGGCAGAAAAATAATTCGATAATAAGATTTTACAGTTCTTAGTGTATTACACAAATTTGAAATTGCCTTACTGGTGTAATTTGGCAGGATATGGTTAACAAGGTATCTCTCATAATGTCATAGGGTTGATAGCAGCATAAAACCATTCACAATAATGTTACTCAACCTTATTAATATAACTCAACAAAGAATAGATTGGCTTATTCACTAATAACACTATGTCATGATATGATTAACTTCATGACCATATTTCCCCAATCTCTTCACTTGTTATGTAACAAGGTGTAATAGAGAAGGTGATATGAATTTTTATACATAAAATGATTAAATCGAATAGAGTACAACTTGAATCAATTCATTTTATACCTAATTGATGATGTTATCAACTTATGTCTTTTCGGTTGCATCTTTTACACTGTAATGAATCATACTTTTTCCTATCCTCATTACTGTATATCACAGCAATGCCGTAAGATTCTTGTTGGGTAATAGCGCAATATTTCAAAGAACTGTATCGAGCGTCGTATAGCTATAAAACATATCAGACTAATTACGAATGCAAATATCGAAAAATATATAACAATTATATAGTCCTCGTAGTAAGCCCTTTGTTCCTATCCGTAGTCTACTTCTATCATATTGGATTACGAGGGAAACAAGATGATTTAGGCTATTTGAATAGGCGTCTATTATATTATGCACATTTATTAATAGCAGAGGCCGGCATTAGTGAGATAAATGCGGCATCTGCTAGATGAATCATATTGATGTATGTGTGAATATATTTCTAATCATTGACCGCTCTTGACATTAACTGTATAGACAAATTATCTCCTCGTATGAAATAATCTTGATAATTAATTATAATAATTATACAGTAAGCTAATCAAGAAATCAGATGTATAGGGTTAACTAACTGCATGTTGATACTATAATAATTAAAATTTCCTCTATTGCATGGAATCAAATGTCTTGGGTTTACTAACTGTATGATGATGCTCTGAAAAATCAATTTTCCCTTTATGGCATGAAATCAGATGTCTTCGGTTAGCTAACTACATATTGATACTCAAACAGACAAATTTTCCTGTATTGCATGAAATCAGATGTCTTGGGTTAGCTAACTACATATTGATGCTCAAACAAATTTTCCTCCATTGCATGAAATTAGATGTCTTGGGTTAACTAACTATATGTTGATGCTTTGGCAAATAAATCTTTCTCTATTGCACGGAGTAATAATTAATAGAGGATATCCTTGTTCGAAAACTTGGATATCAACGCTGTAGTTCTGGATAATATTAATTATACGATAAATAGTGGAATGATGAAACAAACCGTAATGATTCTTTAGTAGATAGCTAACTACACTCGTCATTCATTGCTATTTGTGTCTAACTTGTTAACTATTCCTGCATTCATTATTATAAGACCTTCAAAGTTACTTCTCTACGTTACTAACACACAACGATCTGCATTTCCTAACTGCTAACAGGTTCGTTACATTCTTCTATTCACTAATCAATAAAGCTAAAGACATTTTTCACAATTCTACATTAGCAAATTCCTTTCTAAACGACAATAGTAGAACTTTTGTCAAACTTGAGGGGTTACTCATCCGTGCCACATTGTAACGTAATCTAATTTTAGACTTCGCGGCATTATTTTAGTGTTAATTTAAAATTTTTCAGTTTTGATGAAGCTTATAAGACTATTGTTTCAAGGGTTATAAAAATAGAAAGAAACCTTATGGTCCTATTCTATCATTTATACCGATGAAAAAACTTGTTGTTTTAGCAATCATGTTACCGAAAAGGAAGACTTAAAACATTCTATTCGGTCATGGTAATGTATACATATCGTCTAAATAACTTGTACCGTCAACATTGCCATTAAAATATAGTGTTGACATAAGGTTTATAGGAACTCTTACACAAAATATCCAAGAAGAGAATAGTAACAATAACTATTTTTAGTAACCCTTTTGAGCTGTTGTACTCATTTATCAAATGATGTGCAGTATAGAAAGAGGGATCTAATTTAGGTCTGCCAAGCTTATATATTTCGCCGCCAAGAAAATCAATTTTACTTAACCCTAAGCGAAAACTTCGGGAGACAAAGCTTAGTGAAAAATACCACCTACTACTGTAGCGATAGTTTAACAATCCTTCTTTCTAACAAATAACATCAAGAAATTTATACATTAAAATGATTAACACTGATCTAGTTTTGCACAGTCTAATGCTTCACTTTTGCAATGACTGCATTAACCCCTACCCTCCATAGCTGATACAATGCTAAGTTTAAAATGAAATTAAAAATTTTTAAATTTAGGCTATTACCATCAAGATCAATATCATAGCTATTAGGTTATTCTTGCTAATTTTTAGTTTTGATTATGATTATACTCGACATATTTTTCTTTATCTTACATCAATCTTGAGCTATTCCGCTCAAGTTTAAGGCTAAAGAAAGTTATTGCTAGTGCATATGTGTTGTCAAATTTTACATGTATATGTATAAATTGGATGATTAAGGTTAATGATTAAGAATTTTACTACACGAGCAAGGCTGTAGTAGCTCTTTAATTGTTAACAATATTGATTATTTCATTTTTAATATATCTATTTTAATTTATCATGGAGAATAGACCACTAACACTAACGTGATCTTTTAATATTGTAAAATCGCAGTAGCGGTTGAAGGAATAAATAGGCCTTAATACCTCTCCAAATGAAATCTTACCGAACCAAAATTAAATAAAAGCTCATAGAATTACAGAATAGCAGACTGAGTAGAATCTATAGTAGTACACAGTTTTTGACTTTAAAGATGGAATCGGAGTAAATAAATCTGAAAACTGGTATAAGAGTAAAGATGACTTACTTCTTCTTCGCTGTCTCGGTTGTTGCTCTCCATCAGTTGATATTGTTGTAGTACAGTTTGTAATTTATTCTGCTAATATGGTTAGAATTGAATCAAGACTCATACAAATGGATGCCAACAAACAATTTATGTATTTGTTGTTCGTTAGTTTATTTTTTTATGACGAAGATGGATAAAAGAAATAGAATTGATATTAATTTCTTGGATTAACGTGGAATTTAGCCTAGTGAGAATGGTACAGTCTAGGATGGGAAGGCAAATACAGGGACAAACTTCACTAGGCTGATCTATCGGATAGGTAGTTTTTAGTGTTGCAAATTTTTTCACTTGCCTGATACGACAAAGTAACGGATGTATTGCATAAATTTGATGTAAGGGATGGTAGTGGAGGACAAAACTTGTTTATAATTTTTCTCCTAAGTTGACTTGTATAATGTAAGTTAATTCCAGTTGATTATTTGTTTATCGATTTCCAAAATGAACCACAAATCAAATAGCAAGGGAAAGGATAATGTGAAAAAATGAAAATATGATTGAAGATTCGTATAACTGGAGGTCAATGCAAATACCGTTAAAGGTATAATTTTAAAGTATTCTTTCAAGGATGGATAAATGCAGGCTCGGAAAAGCTCTTTAGGTTAACCTTACAGTTGTATATAGATGATTGTGCCAAGATCTAGCCCAGAATTTTCTTTCTATCGCCTTCTTTCTTTCGCGTGCTTTCCTTGAAGAAAACGTGCGTTGAACAGAGATTCGCTTGAATATTTTACGATCGTATGAACTTGTTCCTTGCCGAAAAGATTCTGGATCTACAAGTCGACAATGCCGATGTCTATCTATCTATTTAAGGGTTTGATAGCTTTCATGTGTTTATATCGGGCTGGTTGTGCTTATGTGTGCATTGATTGGAATATGTAAGATAGGTAAATTATTCAAAAGGTGTAGATTATTTATAAGTATATATGTGCGTGATCATGTGTGTGTGTGTGTGTGTGGAGAAAGAAATGTGTGTGTGTGTGTTTATGTAGATATATATGCATATGATATATATATGTATATATATCAAATAGTCATTGCAGTCTTAGTCTATCCTAGGTATTACTTTGCATAATTTAAAGGTATTTGATTATTACGAATGAAGGAATGATTGATCGCCTTTTAACTAAATTAAAATGAAGCAATTGTAAAATTAGAAGATCAACAGATGATTTGTTCAATATATGTTATAAAGGTAATTGATGATCTGTACTGAATGCAGCGTAGAAATAGGGTAGAAAGCATATTGATGATTGTTTTTCATCGATAAGCAGTAAGAAGCAAATGGGAAGGGCAAGCAAAATGATGAGTAATAGCTTCTGATGATTAATAAAGGGATAGCAAAATATGATTCTACTAATATCATTTAATAAGATAGAAAAATTAGCCAATCATGATAATAGACAGTCGCAGCTTAGATCTATTTTTTAATAAACAAGTTAAAATGATTGATTATCTTATTGGAAACAATAGTATTGAGTCAGTTATTCAATCAAGAAAGGGAGGGAGAAAGAAAATAGAATGACAAGGAAAGGAATTTACATGATGAGCAATACCGAGATATCTTAGTGAGATGAAGAAGAGTGATGATGATAATAATGAATGATGTCAAGGCTTTCATTTATGAGAATAAGATTGAAAGAAATAGACTAAGCATTGCAAGGTTATTGAATTGAAACTTAACATGATTATGCTTAGTATATAATGGAATCAAAAATATGACTACAAAAAATTGAATAAAACATAACTATTCCCTTTCTAAGCCGATGCACTTCCAAAGAGCTATTAAGGAAACATATTGCTATCGAAGATAATTTAGTTAATGGCAATTTTCAGATTTTACCTGTTTAAACCAATAGATGTTAATCGATTCCATATGATTGATGCTAGCTTTTTTCAGTTTTAGTGAATATCTTATATCGTTTAAATGTCTTTTAGAAGTATGACAGGATCCTAATTTGCGTTCAAAATACAAATTGATTTTAAACATTAATATGACCGATTAGGCTACTAATCGGTTTATACCAGAAAGATAAATTAAAAGCTTTGAAAATTTAGATGATAACGTTGTCCTTAGAAAAACGTATCGTCTAATATCAATTATAAAATAATTTATAAATTAAATATGCAGGATAAAAATTCTAAAAGGTAAGAATACTGACATGAAAATCGAATGAGAATGACATATTTG